GAAGGGGCTGTCACTGCATAAATCACGAAAAACCTGAACTCTGCGGGGGAGGGGTCAAAGGGGGGACAAGGCAGGTCCTGTCCCCGAGATGCCTTTGGGAGGTGCATAAGGGAAAGCAGGACAGACTGTCCACGGTGAGCTTGATCATCTGTCAGGTGCATGGTGGGCTGTTTCAGGAACAAACCACCCTGTGGTTGTGCAGACTCGCCCCAGGTCTGACTGCAACCCATAGGAATGTGCTTTCTCGCCATCCTTTGGGCTGTACTGGGTGAATGAGGGGATATATATCAAGGGAAGAAAACATGCCTACAGTTCCTAGCCCGGCTTCTGTCTTATGAAAAGTAGTGATTGTGAGGGCTTGCTTTTTAAGGGTAGGTAAAGTTCCTCAATATTCTCAGTGACCGACAGAAAATATAAGGCAACTTTTAAAAAACACACACAATGGTAAAGCAGCATAAAATCAGCTAAGAAATTTATCTCCATTAGGGACAAATGTTCAGTGGCTTAAATAAAAAGTGCATGTTTGAGATAGTCTGGTATAATCCCACTAAAACTGTTTCAACCATTCATTTCGTACTTAACCCAGCTAACGAATTATCCAATAAACGGTCATTACATGTACCCTCTGCATTTTTCTCCTGTGTCTTGTCTTGTATTTAATGTGCAGCTTGCATTCAGAAAGACTCCCGTGGTCTTAATTTAGTATACAGACAGAATGATTCATATGTTTGGAGGGTAAAACAGAACCATCCTTCTTGAAGCTGACTCCAGGTCAAGCGAAAGAGTTTTGTGACACATGGGTTACCTAACTTAACATGTTGAGGTTTGACTTTGTGATTTGTAAATAAGTTACACAAAACTCCAGGATTCACAGCTGCTCCCATTCCTGTCCAGAGAAATTACTGAAGAATGGAGACAGCTGATTCGTAGCATGCATGACCAGTAGCTCCATCCTACTTGCAACATACACCCACAAATTAGGCCTGGGGTAAGCCACCATCTACTGGTAAGGCACAAGCAAAGTTTTCAAGGTCTGCCAGCACAAATTATTTGGAAGCACTGAGAAATTCACAGAATCACCTGTCCTCAATTCCTCTTCTTTCCCCAACTGAGCAAATAATCTCACCAGCTACAGAACTATGCCAGGACCAGTCCAGGCTTCCAAAAGCTGACTTACCCCCTTTGCTGTTGCTATGGAAGGGGCACAAAGGGAGTCATGCATCTCACCTCATTCCCAGATCCTGGAAAGGAAGCGACTGTGGTCAAGTCTGGAGAGACAAAGACTAGGGGAGGCACGACTTGGGGATGCCGTCCAAAAAGGGCAGAAGCTTCTAAGAGCATCAGAGCACTACCCTGCTGAGAAATGTCTAGCAGAGTGCCAGGAGAGGATCATTTCTAGGACCAGCCTGTGCATCTTGCAAACAGCCCTCGGGTTGTTTGCAAGGCATTCACATACATCTGATCTTGCTGCATCTTTCAGGGAGAAATGTACAGAGACTCTGCTTTTCAAAAAAAAAAAAAAAAGTTTCCTCCTTTTTCTATGCCAAATCCAGGTTGCCAATTTAGAAACTCCCACACTTTCAACAACAACAACAACAAAATTGCAACACTCTTTCTATGCTGTAAGGTCTCTGCTTTCTCAAATGACCCCCTCTTTCTTCTAAGTCCTCTCCTACAGATGAACCATGAGTAAAATTATTGAAAAGCAAACTTTTCCCCTGGTAGTGCTCTGTTTATGTTCCCAAATGCCTTTTCTTTATTTAAAATACCAATATACTAGATTTCACCAATAGTTAGCATGGTAGTCTATAAAACACAATTACATTTTCCTAAAATTTCAGTATCCTTTTGATAGGAAACGAAAAAAGCTTTTTTGGGGGGGAGGGGGCATCACTCCATGCCTGAATGCCTTCTCTTCTTTCCACTGGACCGCTTTATCCGTTTTTATGTCCAGTGCTACTTCCAATCTTTTAAGCTGTTCCCCATTTTCAAAAGAAGTGCTTCAAATTTATTACTGCCATTCCCTCGTAAGTCAAACTTCCTTTTGGAAGTGTCAACTTTGTTTCAGGGCATGCCCTCCAAAAAAGGACCCCTCACAGCTTATTATTTTTCGTTGCATCTACATTCCAACTTTTCCTCCATGGACCCAAAAGAGTGCATACAATCCTCCTCTTCTCCTTTTTATCACCACAACAACCCTGCCAGGTAGATTAGACCAACAAAATACTAGATGGGGTAAGTATTACTCTCTGGATGCCCCACACTCCCTGCTCTGGGGCTCTGTCAATTCCAAAACCTTTCTATGCATGACACATTCCACATTCCTTAAGTTCTTTTTACTTGCACGCTTTCCCTTTCTTTGAGGAAGCAAAATGTGCCCACCGCCCCCTGAAAAAAGGGTATTGATTTTTTGAGGCTCTTGACCTTATCTGGGTCTTCCACAGGAGGGCAACTCAGTGAGTACAACAACCATTCCAACTACACCACCCTTCTGGTAAGATGCATTCTCTTTTGGAGCACCTGTCTACTCCAAGATCTCGCAGAAGACTTCAACGTCCAGAAGATGCACCTTAGTCTCTGTGTGCATGTATGCAGGTACATTTCTGGATAGAGCAGACCACTGCTCAAGGCGGGAGGAAGGTGTACAAGAGGATTCTCCTTCGGGACGCAAAATAACCCTTGCATCACCACAGCCTTTCCTTCCAGACCACAGCAGCTCTTTCTCAGGAAGTCGAGGGCACGGGCAGATCCCTCCTGCAAATCCTTCAGGGTCACCATCATGCACACCTTCCTAGAACCACATTCTGTTATTTATGAGGGAAGAACAAGCTTAAAGGGACACCTTAAAGGTGAAGGCAACCCTCTCCTGAACTTCTCTCCCCTGTTCTTTCCCAAGGAGCTGCTCTGTTTGGACAACTCCCACTCTTCCAAGAAAAAGGAATGACTTCATAAGGGATGCAACAGGCAGGATCAGATGATCATGGAGAAGGAAGTGAGCTGTGGTGGGTTGTTCCCATGTGTGTGCTTGTCATATGCTAGGGGAACAGCCTATTTACCCCTGCAGGGGGGAGGGGGCTTTTCATACCGAATAGTAATAAGGCACCTAGAACCCACGGCCTGTGCTAGGATTTTGGGTGCCTTGCTACTCACAACAACACACTAACGGTGCCAGGTTCTCACAACATGGTGAGCAATGCCAGTGAGGGTAATTATGCTAAGCTGGCCTGTTTCCCCCTCTGTGATCCTGCAGACCCAGCCAGTATCGCCCTTTCCCAAGACCGTATGCAACTTTCTCAGGTGCAGAATCCTCCCACTCAGTCCATCACCATTTCCTCTTTGTTATTTCAGGCATGCATATGGCACCTTCCAGGACACCCCCGCCCCCGTTGCTTACAAACAGCATCTGTATCATTTTAAAATACAAACCACCCCATCCAATTATAAAGCTAAGCAAAGTAGCAATGCAAAAGCCTCGCACCATGCCATTACTAGGAAAACAGAATGAAATTCAAAAGTTTTAACGGCCTGTTTAAAAGCTAACAATATCTCCTCCAGCAGATACGGAGCCACAGGCAAAAAGTCCCCCCCTCTAGTGTCATGGACTTTGACTGTAGATACACACACAGGAACTCTGCGGCCAGTTTTTGCATACAGGCAGGTTCACATGGGTGCAGGTGTTCCTTCAAAACAACACAGCCCCGAACTAATCACACCTGTTGCCCATGCGAGCAGCTACAACTGTCAAGCGAAAGCAGCTGGGATCATGGGAGGGCAGCCCAACGCATCTGGAGAGCAGCAGGTCTAAAGCAGCATTTTAAACTGAGCTTGGGAACAAATAAGCAACCAGTGAAACCAGCATCAATATTAATACCTTCAGAATACCTGGTCCCTGACACATATTTTACTGCGTACTCAGTTGACTGAGCTTCTCTTAAAGGCAGCTGTACATAAAGCTCAACGAGGTCACCTAGTCTACAGGTGTGAAGGCCAGGGTGGGGGGAAGCAGGCGATTTTTTCAGAGAGAGAACTTTATTTTCCTGAATTTTCTTGGTTTTCCCCCCAGGCCTTCACATTTCTAGTCTAGCCTGGATGTAACCTGAACATATGTAAATGAGGCAAGGTCTGCTTTCTCTGGAAAGGGCCATAAACCAGCTAAGGTGTAAACTGCACTCCTAGGCAGGTATCACCTGCACCTCCACAGGTATTTCTGAGTACCAGAAAACCCCCAAAAGGTGCTTTGGGCCATGTAGGGAGTCACACGCCCATCCAAGACCCGCTGCAGCCCCCACCCGCCCAGCTCCATCGCTCCCCCCACCCCCCGTCCTCCCCTCTTACTCCAACTTCGCCCGCCCGCCCTCGCCGATCCCAAAACTGCCTCCAGGATCCCCAGGCCGCGCTTGTCCTTGGCGGAAAGGGGAAGCCGAGCTGCATGTGATCCGCACAGAGAGAGGCGCCGAAGCCCGGACGGTTGCTTCTCCCGCGGATGTTACGAGCGAACCCTGAAGCCCCCCAGAGGTCACAGGGTCGAGACGGGGCAGAGCCCCCTCTGCATCCCGCGCCCCACCGACCGCGCCGCTTTCGTGCTGGGGCGGGGGGCTCCCTGCCCTCTCAGGTCACCCCTGAAGTGTAAAACCGACAAGCGCCCGGGCGCAGCTGGAAGGCTGGCTCGCTTCTCCCCCGGGACGGGGCCATCCATCCTCCCCTACAGGGGGTTTCCCAGAAGCGGTGCCGTTTCACTTTTCCAAGGATGGGGGGGAGGAGGAGGAGGAGGGCGGCGCGCAGCAGGAAAGCGCGGGGCGGGGGGAGAAACGAGGCGTGCGCCCCCTCTCCTTCCCCAGTCTAAGTCTGCAGGCAAGGCGGGGAAGGGGGCGCGGGCAGCACCCCTTCGTCTGAGCGGCGAAGGGAGGGGGCGAGGGGAGGGGAGGACCGCGGCGGGGCAGAGTTCACACGTTACGCCCCCCGACACGCGAGTCGCGGGGCCGCCGCCGGCGCTCACCGACCTCGCTGCGCGTGATGCGGTGCCGGCCCAGCTTGACCACGGCGAAGTTGCCTTTGCCCAGCGTGCCCTCGATCTCGTAGAAGCCGACGCGGACGGGGCCCGACCCTCCGCGGGGCGGCTGCAGGAGCAGCGCCGCCGCCGCCGGGGGAAGCCGCCGCGGCTCGGCCATCACCATGCTGCCCGGGCGGCTCCCGCTCCGGCCCCGGCCCCGGCCCCGG